CATTGCTTCTGTTTTTGTCACATTGATCTTTAGACTATTCCCCTGTGTCCATTCAAGTTTTGCTTGTAGGTCATAGTTTATCTTCTTTACTGCAATCATGATTTGTATATCATCAGCATAGTAGTGGGAACTACTGAATTTAATGCTACTTTGAAGGTCTACGAGGAACAAAGTGAATAGGAGTGGTCTAAAATTGATCCTGTGTGTGAGCTTGAATACGTTTTAGAGATGCCCTTCAATTCGGCATATTGTTGCCTCTGTGATAAGTACTGATTAAACCATTCCTTGGCCATTCCCCTAATACCATGGTGATATAGTTTGGCTACTAGTAAGTAACATGGTCTATGCTGTCGAAAGCCTTTGACATGTGCAACATTACCATTATGGTGGCCATTCCTTGGTCGTATGGGCTGTTATAATATCATCATTTATCCTAATTAGTGCATAGTTACAGTGCCATGTAATCTTCGAAAACCTGAACTGAGTGAAGGATGTTGTGGTCTTTGATATACTGTATTATTTGATTGTACATGACATTTTCAATAAATGTTGATGTTGTTGGTAGGATGCTTATAGGCCGAAGGTTCGTAAGCCCTGTCGAGTTGGTAGATTTTTTTAATGGCAAAATTTTAGAAGTTTTCCATATGGTAGGAATATTTCCTGTATACATTGATGTGTTGATTATATGACATAGTTCCCTCTTGCAATATCGGAAACATAGCTTAAGCACGGGTAGATTAATATTATCCAATCCCATAGCATAAGTTTTAGGGCCGAATTTATAGTCGTTCCTTGAATCTTCTTTAGAGTCGTAATTTTAGAATGGACACTTTATTACTATTTGACAAGTTAGTCATGTCCATTCTTAACGTTCAAAGATTTCTTAAGGTCTACTAAGGAAACCTCAAGGAGCGACTATAAATTCGGCCCTTCATGGTACTAAAAATCCGTTGGAGGTCACTTGTGTCGACTAGTTGAAATGCAAATTCTTGTCTTTCCTGATATGATCTATAGAAGATGTCTGGTAGAGCGGCGGCGTCGCTGCTCTGTTGATTTCCCTTGCACAGTTAATAAAAAAAGTATTCATTTCATCTACACTGTATTCATCTGTCGTTGGGCTATCTTTATCTCTTCAGAAACCAATTTACATCAATTTTGTCTTATTTTATTTCTTTTCATTTTCAACACACGTGCTGAAAGTACTTTCAATCCATGTATTGAAAAATGAAAGTAAATTGTTATGTCAATCACAAATAATGTCAACAGTATTTTCCACAGTGTGCTGAAAGTACTTTTAGCACGCGTATTGAAAGTATTTTCAGCACGCGTGTGATATTTAGCGCTTTCCAAAGTAGGTACCAGCTAGTGCGAATTTTGTCAATTTCGTATGTGGTCGTAGGAAAAAAAAAATAAATCCTGCTTTAAAGAAGGCACATTCACACAAAATACCTGTTTTTTCCTCGGTTTTTTCAGTCTTTGTATGCTGCTCGTGTGTTATGCGATTTTTCAGTTGTTGGATAAAACATTGTATGCTACTCGTGTGTTATGTTTTCTAAGTCACGCGAGAAAAATTTATACCACGAGAACGTCAGGCCGACGCGTGACTTATTTTCAACATAACACACTGGTACCATAAATAACCATTAGGTATAGTTTCTTATGTATCTAGTTTGGTTTTCACAATAATTGTTTTCGACCAGAATATTCACAAATATAGCCAGATAAGTCAACGTCAATGGTTCCTTCGATTGCCATTTCAGACGTAACACAAATAATGTCTAGCAAGCTGCCTGTGTCATGAGTGTTATACGTGTAAGATTTTCTATTATTTGGCTTAAATTGTAAGCATCCATTAATAAATCTAGCTCTTCTGTGTTTTGATTGGTTTCAAACAGGTTTATGTTCAGATCACCTAGGAATAGTTGTATTTTATCGTAACAGCCCTCAAACTGTTTTCAAGGTTATTCAGTGGAAAATGTTTGTTGTGGAAACAGCCAAACAATCATATTTAATTTTTATGATCACAGTGGCAACGTTGCAAAAAAGCCCCCCGCCGTGAAAAACTTGAAAAATGGCGCCGTACCAGGCTGTACCGTATCGATCCTGTCTGGTTGTTTGTCGCTAGGGGAAAAAATGCATTCCCTCTCTATTTCACTTCACAGTGTGATTTGTGATTTTAGTAGTGTGGTTTCACTAGCAGTAAATAGTGCGTAAAAACGTCTAGCTCTATACAAGTTTGAACCTGCTCACTTTTCTCTAATTATTTAATTATTCTCTCTAGTTGCACCCTTGTGCAGTCTCTCTCTCTCGCTCTCTAAATAAAAAGACTTATTTTTTTATCTCTCTGGCTGCTGGCTTGAAAACTCAAGTGATATATAACGCGTAAAACATTGAGTTAATCACACTCCCCTTTTTTAAGGGCTCTCTAAAAATATAAAAACTCTCAACTCCCGAAGATTTCTATTAAGAATAAACTTTATCTTGTGCTCTCAATTAAAATATTAGCGTTCCGCTAATACTGACAATTATTGTTAAATTGACTATTGAGCACTTAGCAACTAGTGAATTTATACCGATTAGTGAATGTTCTCGAATAACTCAAATGCGACTTGTTAACTAACCTGTGAATAATTAAAAGTACTTGAATGTGGTTACAGTATTTATTACTTTATTAAACGATTATTTTGGCAACAATAGAGAGATATAAAACTGGAAGTATGAGTGCATTATTTAGCAGTGACGTCCCCATCCCCTTTAGTCCAGGAGGTGGCGCCAAAAACATGCAAGAGTTTTCGCAAGGCGGATATTTTCAAAATAGGTCGTACTTTAGTGTTAGAATGCTAGTGTACAGTCAGCACTCACAGTTCCGGGACAGCTGGCTCTGGGACGCGGGCAAAGTTGTAATTTTAAGAAGCATTCAAACTGTTTTCTCAAAGCTCAAAATTTATAGAAATTTTGCACATTATCTGTTTGAAGGTTACAGATAACGTATGTAAATCGTCAGACGTCTAGTTCGTTGCAAAAAGGGGGTCAGACTTCCTCAAAGTTTTTATTTTATGGCATTTTCTTCGGTGTCCTGTCAAAATATATTTTTGCAGGTATTTGACAAATATATTTGAAGAAAATGCCATAAAATAAAAACTTTGAGAACGTCTGACCCCCTTTTTGCAACGAACTAGACGTCTGACGATTTAGATACGTTATCTGTGACCTTCAAACAGATAATGTGCAAAATTTCTATAAATTTTGAGCTTTGAGAAAACAGTTTAGATGCTTCTTAAAATTACAACTTTGCTCGCGTCCCAGAGGCAGCTGTCCCGGAACTGTGAGTGCTGACTGTACACTAGCATTCCAGCACTAAAGTACGACCTATTTTGAAAATATCCGCCTTGCGAAAACTCTTGCATGTTTTTGACGCCAGCTCCCCAACTACTTTATGATCCAGTGATCTATCCCTAAATTAAATGTTGACACCTCAGTTAGAGGCCCTAACAATGTTTATGTAGTCTATATACTACACCAGTTGCATATGTATATCTTCCACGTTTAAATTGCAGTGAGAGTTGTTCCAGATCCTCTGTGTTATTTACTAAGGTCAGGAATGAGTCCACATTCCAGTTCCTTTTTGGCGAAAAACAGTTCTCGATCCTCCCCCGTTACTTTGCGTTCTATATATCTTGCCTGATGATATCATAGTTTGGGATATTAATGTCACTAAAGTCAATATGTGGTATGTGGCTTTAACCAGGTTTCACTGACAGCATAAATATCATATTGTCCATTAAGGATAAATGTTTTGAAAGATGTAAACTTGTTGTGTATGGATCTTACGTTCAGATGACCTACCCTTAGGAGCTCTTGGGAGCTTTGGTGGTGATGAGCATTTTGTTCTATTTGCTATGCTGACGAATCTTCATTATTTTTATCTCCATTGCTTACAATTCGTAGATAATACAGGACACTGACAATCTAGAGCAAAATGACGGCTATCAAGGTTGGTTTCGCATTTCTTTTGCTTAAAGCTTCAAACAACAATGTTATGTCTAAGATGCATATTGAGAATGGTATATATAAATATGTTCTAAGAATATTTTAAGCATATCATTGGTACAATAATCTTTTGAGAACATAACTAAACTGCTGGACAAATGAAGCGGAACAAGCAAAATTTTGAGTTTAACTTTGGATTCCAATATTACGCGAACTAAAGAGGATATCAGTGAGCGATTTGCGTACTTAAGAACTTTATTTTCGCAAACCGCTGATGAATATTTTTTTTAGTTCTATTGAGATTTAAAGTTAACCTAAAAATTCGCTTGTTCCGCTTCATTTGTCCAGCAGTTTATTATTTATTCTTTGAATGTCAAGCATATCTTCGGAATCAAACAAGAATGTTATTTTCAGGATGTACCTACTGGGGAACCACCTCATATATTCTAGGAATATCCTAATGGATTTCCCAGGAATGTCTCGAATATTGCAAACAGTATTTCTATAATCTTTTCTTAGAACATTCTCAGGACATTCACAATAGTTTTGGCGAACATTCTAGGCAAATTCTTCCTAAAAAAAGGAAAGAAGGACATTCTCATTACATTCGACTAAGGATGCAATTTTTGTTGTGTGTGATTTGATTGGTTGCAGCTTTATCTACAAACCAATAATTACATTTTTTGAAGTTATTCTTCTGCTTAAAATGATTCCTTTGCTTGCTGATTACTGCGAAAACCTCTAGATTATTTTTATTCAATACTCAGAATGCTTTTCCAAAAATACACAGCTGGCTATTGTTTTTCATTGTTTTTTAAATTTCAATTCAATCATCAGCAGTTGAAGAAATAATTGCTCCAGTAGGTACAATAGTAATTAATTTTTTAACAATTTTTCAACATTTAGTATTATTTTTCTTCAGCAATTTCTATACGAATTCGCGTGCAATGTGAATGCCGCCTTAAAAAACGTGCTCGCATTAATTTACCACTGTGACACACTTCCTTGTTTTAATTTTAAATTTTAAAAGGCATGACACATGAAGATTTAAGTTTATACTTATTATGAATAAAAGTTTGTGTTGCAAAATATTGAATTATCATAATTTACTACTGAAGAATTTTATCTGGAACAACTCAAAGTTTTTCATTAGAGGTAGGTAAGCAATAATAATAAATCGATACATACATTATTTATATTTGGTTTTTTTATTAGAGTTGTATGTTTATTTATATGATATAGTGGTAATATCAAATTTTATCTCTTTTGAAATTCGATAAAAATTAGTTTCACCTGTAAGTAGTAGGGTAGAGGTTAAGCATTCTTTCAACTAGGCAATCAAATTCTAACCTATAATTATCCAGAGAATAATTTGGATAAAAAACTCTATAAATAGATTGTTATTATTGCCTTTGAAAGCATTCTTTGTCAGAAGAGTTTTATAGTTATATAGGGTGATTCCAAAATAGTGCGCTGTGTTGTAAGGAAGTCCAGAAAAATAGTGAAAAAAATCCTCCTTTACCAATCTTGGTAATATGAAACAGTAAAGTTGAGAAGTCAACTTCTTTATTCTCGTTTTTTTTTTAAACTATGATATTCTCTATAAAGTTAAACTGTCAAATCTCTGCCTCTAATTCCAAAAAATGAGTCTGGCAACGTTACCTAGGCCTATGTCTAGGCTGTTAATTAAAAAAAAAATACGAAGGTAGTACCAATTAAGTGCTGAATGAAATTAGAACCAGACACAAGGTTCATTATTAAGAACTATTTTTGCCACTCCGTCTTCTTCTTATAAATTTGTTAAGAGAAATTTTATACTATTTTAACTATTTTTCTGGGGTTCCTTAAAGGGTCCCCCATGACGTAGTGGAGATGAACTTATACACCAATCTGAAATCACCCTGTATAGAAGTATTTACCAATTTATCTAGGTTCTTCTCCATGTTTTTGATGTTAATACTTATTTTATTCAAAATAAAACAACAACCAATCAACATAACAAAGTACAGTACAATAATATATTTAACACTTGCCAATATGAACTATTGTTATAAAAAGTTTACAAATTTATTAACTATTATTATCTTTTAAAACATCCTTCAAAATCGAACTGGAATTTCTGCTCTGACCGAAATCAGCAAACGTCGGCAAAACCATTTCATTTAAAACAATCGGCGAAGCTCTAGGCGTATTCCTTTGACTGCTATTGCTGCTAGGTTGCTCTTCCAATAAACTAGGCAATACTCTAGGTTTAGACTCGTTTTCTAAAAACCTCACAAAAGCTTGAGACAATGATTCTTGACTGCTACCGGTTTGAGGATTGGGGTGCAACAAAGAACTGAGCCAGGAGCCTTGTTGAGGCTTGTCCAACTTCACTTTGTCGTGATCTTGCTGGTTGAAATCCAGCACTGTGGCTATGAGTTTTAGTACTTGGGTTTGGTCTTTGTTCCAGCGGTTGTTGTCGGATGCCAGGAAGCCGATTATCAGGCTTTTGATTAGGGATTTGTCGATTTTGCCGTCGGTTTGGCTGCTGATTTCGTCGATTGTTTGCTGGGTTTTTGTCAGTTTTCTTTGCAGCTGCGACACTAGAAAAGAAATAGGAATTAGTTTGTTTTAGGCTAAAAATTTGGGGCTTTTTTTACAAATCCAAAGATTTGTGTGGTCGTTTTTTTACCAATCAAAATCCTTAATGCCGCTATTTTCTTCTTCTTATATTCAAGTTAATTTTAAAGGAGGAAAAATCTTATTTACAAGCTTTGAGGACGATCTTTATTATCAATAGATTGTGAATAAGATTTCTTCTCCTTTAAAATTAATCTAACTGGACGTGGTACACCTGCAGATTGAAGTTAGTCATTAGAAGTGACTTAAAAATCATCGTTTACTGAAATCGGTATGCTCATAGGTTTCTTGATAGCGCTTTCATCATGATTTAGAAATTGAGTCAAGAGTTAGAAAGCAACAATCTTCTTCTGTCATGAATAAGTTCAAATTATGGAGTTTTTCCTATGCCAAATTTTATTTGGTTGCTGTAAAGAATGTTTCATAGAAAACCATCTTAAATGTAAATTCTATAAGAGTGGACTTAAGACAAAACAGAAGCACTGTTTCCGGGTCAAAAAAATTAAATTCACCAGAAATTGGAATAAAAAATCACCAGAAATCTTGAAAGTTGATATTTCAAGAAAATTCTCGCCTTACGGGCTTATATCAAACCAAGTAGGCTTTGGAAACATGTATGTATTGCAATGTCGGTATTACAAGGCGCCATATTTAAATTTTAAAATTTTGCAAAGCCTACTTTGTCCCTTGGCAAACAGTGTTGCCAACTACAACTTATAACAAATATTGTGTCAATCATTGAGGCTCGAATTTATGCAAAAAAAAAGCCCAAGTAGGCCTTGCAAATTTCAAATTTTCCATAACAGTAATTATATAAACATTGGCAACACTGTTGGGCAAAATGTCAAATATCATTTATGACAAGCGATAAGATTACTACTTATCAAAAACTAAGTGAACCTTGAAGCAATCCTGGGCTGGGATCATGACGAAAAGTAGAATTCTATTTTCATGACGTCACCCGCGACCTATTTATCGCATATACTACAGGCTATGATCACTGTTGCTAGGCAACCTGACGTCATGAAAGTAGAATTCTAGTGGAATTCTACTTGTCGTGATCCCAGCCCAGATTTTAATCGATGTCGGTAATACAGATAACTGTAAGCAAAAAATTTGTTAAATCAAGTAGGTCTTGGAAACAACCCAGCCATCATAGGCGCAACTAGAGGGGTGCTTGGGGGTGCTAAGCACCCCCAAAGCAAAAATTAGCACTCCTATTCGGCATCCCACCATAGCACTACCTAACACTTATATAAAAAATTAATGCAACCAAATTATTTTATGTATTTTTTTTTGCACTTTTTGTACTTACTTACGTCATCGATGACGTCATAATTTAGAAAAAAGTATTTGTCGTTGATTAATTCATAGAGCACGTTCGCAATTATTATTGTTATGGAATAAAAATTTTCAACCGGGGCCGGTATTACAATATTACCTTAAAATCAAGACTTACCCTGAAGTATAGGGTTTTTATGTTATATTTAAAATGACGTCATCGAACAAGGTCAGACAATGTTGTCATTGTCTATGTTTATTCTATATCTTAAGGTGACATTGAAATATCGGCTCCTAAATATCATTGGAGTGGAGTCCCAAATATATAAATTAATTAACTGCGTATTATACAGGGTGTTCTTAAATATCATGTACAAACAACAAAGAGTGATTCTTTTTTTTTACGACTGAAATCTCAAATATGTTCTAAAAAATTGACTTATTTAAGCAATTGAAAAAAATTCACCCTCTTACATTTTAATTTTTTTCTGGAAAACTTGCAAAAGAGAAAATTTTGAAAATTTTCCAGGAATTAGAGGAAAATGAGGAGCTCATTTTACGAAAATTTCAAAATGTTCCAGTAAAAAATCGCTTCAGGAAAAAATCTGAAAAATTGACTTTTTCAAGTAAAATTAAGGAAAATTCACCTCTTACATTTTAATTTTTTTCTGCAAAATTTGCAAAGAGAAAATTTTGAAAATTTTCCAGGAATAAGAGGAAAATGAGAAGCTCATTTTACGAAAATTTCAAAATTTTTCAGTAAAAAATTAATCCAGAAAAAATTATTTTTCAGCAAAATTAAGGAGAATTCATCCTCTTACATTTTAATTTTTTTCTAGAAATCTGGCAAAGGGAAAATTGTAAAATGTTTCCAGAAGAAAAAGAAAAGTGTCCAGAAAAAAGTCCAGGAAAAATTCTGGGAAATTGACTTTTTTAGGCAAAATGTACCCATTTTGATTTTTTTTTGGGAAACTGGCAAGAAAATTGTGGAAATTTTCCAGAAAAAGAAGAAAATAAAGAGCAAATTTTGTAATTTTCGAAAACTCGTAATTTCCGTAATTTTTCTTTAGAAATTTTTTAATTCCTGTCATTTCTCAAATAATTCTTATAATTTTTTTATTAATTACTGTTGTTCTTCAAATTTTCGTAATTTTTTAATTCCCGTAGTTTCTCAGAAAATTCCGTTATTTTTATAATTCCACGTTTTTGTATATTTCAAAAATTAGTAGGTAATTCCCGTAATTTCCGTATTTTTTCTGGGCATTTTTCGAAATTATTTCCTGAAAGCCGTTGTAATTTTTAATTCTCGTAATTCCCGTAACTTTTTCGTAATCCCCGTAATTTTTTATAATTCTCGTAACTTTGATAGTTTTCGTAATTTTCAATTCAATTTTCAATTGTCGTAATTTTTTAAATTTCTTGGACGTTTTTTGAAATTTTATAATTTCCCGGTCTTTATAATTTTTGTAATTGTAATTCCTGATTCTTGTAATTCTTGTTATTTTCTAACTTTTTGAAAATCATCATAGGTTGTTTTTTCGATTTTTGCAATTCGATAATAAATTTCCGTGATTTATTTCCAGAATTTTCGTAACTCTTGTAACTTTTCTAATTTCCATAATTTTTTAAAAATTTAATTATTTTCCGTAGTCCCGAAATTTTTCGTAATTTCCGTAATTTTTGCAATTCCTATAATTATTCTAATTGTCCTAATTTTTTTTATGATTTTCCTAATTTCCGTAATTTTTTATGATTTTCATGATTTCTGTTATTTTTTTAATTCCCGTAATTTCTTTATTTTATTTATCAATAATGATAATTCCCGTAAGTTTTCGAAATTTCCGTTATTTTTGAAATTCTCTTGATTTTTATTATTTTCTCGTAAAACGTAATTTCCAATAATTTTTTGCAATTCTACGTAATTTTTGTAATTCACGTAATTTTTTTCATTAATTTTCATTGTTTTCTGTAATACTCGATTTTTTTTTTAAAATTTTATAATTCTCTCTCAATTTTTTCAATAATTAATGTAATTTCCGTGATTTTTTGAAATTTTTGTGATTTTTGTTAATATTTTTCCATATTACGTAATTTTTCAATAATTTTCGTAATTTTACATAATTTTTGAAATTTCCATGATTTTTTTTTGTAATTTTATAATTCTCCTAATTTTTCAATAATTGTAATTCCTGTATTTTTTTGAAATTTCCGTGATTTTTTGTAATATTCGCTATTTTTCATTTTTATAATTCCTGTAATTTACGTAATTTATCAATAACTTTTGTAGTTCTACGTGATATTTGAAATTGCCAATAATTTCCATTGCTGTTGTAATACTCAAATTTTATAATTCTCCTTTTTAGTTTTTAATAATGGTGGTTTCCGTAACTTTTTAAATTTTCCGTAATTTTTGCAATTCTCGTAATTTTTGTTACTTTTCCGCTATACGTTATTTTCCAATGTTTTCGAAATTTTAATAATTTTTGAAATTCCCGTGATTTTTTTCGTAATTTTATAATTCTCCTAATTTTTTTCAAATTTAATTTTCGCAATTTACCCATGATTTTCGCAGTTCTACATAATTTTTGAAATTCCCGTGATTTTTATAATCCTCGTGATTTTTGTAATTTTTTCGTAATTTCCGTAATTTGCTAATGATTTTTGCAATTTCACGTAGTTTTTGAAATTCCCGTAATTTTTTAAAATAATTTCCATTACATAAGTATTTCCATTCCCGGTTTTTTTCGTAATTTTGCAATTCTCATTTTAATTTTTCAATAATTGTAAGTGTTGTAATTTTTTCAAATTTTCATGATATTTGCAATTTTAATGATTTTTGTTATTTTTTTTTTTGTTTCCGTATTTTATGTAATTTTTCAATTATTTTTGTAATTTAACATAATTTTTGAATTTCCAGTATTTTTCAATTTTTTTTATTTTCATTGCTTTTGTAATACCCGATTTTTTTTGTAATTTTTTAATTTTCCTCTTAGTTTTTTAATAATCAATGTATTTCCCGTGATTTTTCAAAATTCCCGTGATTTTTGCAATTTTTTCGATTTTTTTCATTTTTTCGCGATCCCTGTAATTTTTGAAATTTTTATAATTTTTCAATTTATTTCTATTAATTCTATATTTTCCATAATTTTTTAATGGAATGTTTATAATTTTCCTAATTTTTGTGATTTCCGTAATTTTTTGAGGAATCTTCGCAAATTCCGTAATTTTTTGATTTTTTCGTAGTTTCTAATATTTTTCAATTTTTGTAATGCTTTAATAAATTATTTTCGTAATTTTTTAATTCTTTTAATTTTTATAATTCTCATAATTTTTTAAAAATCTAGTAACTTTTTGTAGTTTTGAAATTTTTGTAATTTCTGCTAATTTCAATTTTTGTAATTTTCGTAAAATCTTCCGAAATTTTTGCAACTCTTATATTTTTTAAATTATCAATTCAAAACTATAGGAATTATATACATAATTCAAAATTTCAAAAAATATTCTGAAATTACGGAAATTATTCGAATATTACAGAAATTACGAAAAATAACGGACATTACAAAAAAATAGGGGAATTACAGGAATTATCCAAAAATGCAGGAATTACTCAAAATTATTCAAAATTACAGGAATTATTTGTAAATTACGGAAATTTTTTCAATATTACAGAAAATTAAAGAAT